CTGCAGGGAACTCTGCAAAAAACGCATCTTCGCACGGGCAGCCCGTGCGTTGGCCAATTTTTTTATCTGAACGTCTGGAAGATTCCGTCACGCTATTCATCAATTCCTCTTTTTCCCTCAATTTTAGGTGAATTTGAGCCAGCTCGGCCAGACAAACTGCTGGCACGAGCATACGAAACGCTTGTGGAATCACCACGTGCCACCGGTTCATCGACGGCATGTGTTCTGGTGGTGCACCATGGCACACTCTATTCGGCGAATCTCGGTGATTCCGGATATTTGGTGATCAGGAATGGCAAAGTGGTGTATCGTAGTCGCGAGCAGACGCATTACTTCAATGCTCCATATCAGCTTTCGATACTCCCAGCGGATGCAGGTATTTTTCCAATTACTGTTTGTGTATATGTATATATGTGTATGTGTATGTGTGTTTGTGCGTGTGTGTGTGCGTGTGTACTGAAAAACCGTTTTGTTGTTTGTGAAGTTTATCAAAAAATCAGTTGCGTCGTAGAAGACTGTTATTTGTTAGGTTTCAGTTGGACTGTTATTTGTTTTAAAAGTCCACTACCTTCCGTTTTTCCACTTTTCCAAGGCGGATGTTTTTCCCCCCAATATTTTTGAGCTTGAGCGAATTTTGCAAGGTGCATCTTCTGCTTCAGAAAAGCATATCTCTTGCTGAATTTTGTTTGCTTCTGATTCTTGTAATGTGAGAAGGAGGAGGTGGAGGGGAAGGGGAGGGGAAGAATGAACTTTTGACTTTTTTTATAAGAAAAGGAACTCAGTTTTGCTGCAGGTAAAATATAATAATTGCTTTCTTTCACTGCGAATCTTTGAACCTTTTTTTATGCGTCTTGTACTGTGTGACAACAATACAAAACGCATCTTGTCATGGGGTTGTCGCGTAGTGTGTGTGTGTGTGTGTGTGTGTCCGCAGCAACTTGTCCGCAACTTTCAACTCGGAAACCACAAAAGCTTGGAAGCTGAAAATTTGGGGAAACGTCCCCCACCCTATTGCGACCTCGCAAATTTAAATTCAGCCTCCCCGTTACCGCGGGTAACACGAAGGGCCCCGTGAAATTTTTTCACGGGTAAATTAATATCTCGGGATCCACGGGGTCTAGGGAGCTGGAATTTTAGGGTAATGACCCCCTGCCTACGCTCAACTTTG